ATGACCTGTACAAATCCATCTGGGGTAACACGCCCCCAATTCGGCTTTCCGAATTAAGAGGACGATAAATTGTTGACATCTGAAATGGACTCAGACACAATTCTATACGCGGTGCAAGTTGCCGAAATTAAGTCGTCTGGCTGGGATGAAAAATGCCACGGCTCCAGGACCTGATACGATATTTGTTAGTCACATATCCTCAGGAGCAAAAATGGAAATATTGTCCGCATTGTACACACAAATTTTATACAGTGGCTTTGTGCCTTCTGGGTGGAAAACTAATCCAAAAGAGGGTAAGGAGGTCACTAACTATTGCCCCATCACAATTAGTTCTCTGCTATGCAGAATCATTTGGGGCATTATGGACAAACGCATTCGATCCGTGGTAAAGTTCAATCCACGCCAGAAACGGTTTATCCCTGAACCTAGCTGCTTCACTAATATTCAAATTCTTCATGAAGCAGTCAGTGACATGAAAAAAAACAGAAGGTGGTGTAGGTGTTGTGCTAGATATATCCAAAGCATTTGACACTGTTCCTCACGCGGCGATTCGGTGGGCTCTGTCCAGGAAAGGGATCCCTGACGCCTTTACCAATTTGGTTACGCCGATGTTCATTCACCGTCATTCAGCACCCCTCGAAAGGAATTGAGGTGCCAATTCGTAGAGGAGTAAAACAGGGGGATCCCTTGTCCCCACCTGAAAATGTCAGGATACACGCTATTGGGAAGGAGTGCGTCCGTTTTAGCATTTGCTGTCGATCTGTTGCTGTTAGCAAAAGATGCTCCGGGAGCTCAAGAATTGGTTGATATAGTAATGGAATATCTTAGGGCTTCCTCATTCGCTGCCCTTCTGGTCCGCAAACGTGTCTTTCCGTTCCAGTCGCCTCTCTGCACAAGGCTTTTACAGATTCTCATTATAGTAATGTGCGAAGGCCACCGTCGATCTGAATATCTTTCAGCACACAGTAATGCACTTTTCTCTGCATTTCTGCCACATTCACCGAACACCAGAATTAAGTCCATCTTCTCCTCGTTCGTATACATCTTCCCGGATATTTCTGCACTATTTCTCTGTGTGTACAAATTTCTTCTAAATCTGAAGTGCTCCCTTTTAGTTCTGACTGAATTTCCTTTCTCCACCGGCCTTTTATTGTACCTACTCTTGTTACGTCACTTCGAGGCATCTCCAGTTTTTCCACTTTACTCGGCCGACGCAACGGAAGGGAATGGCCTCGGCGCACCCGGAATTTCTCGTTCAGATTCCGGAAACCAGCAGTCGGCGAGCGTCTTTAAAACTCTTAATTTCTCGAAAGTTTTGTTATGTAACATATGGTAATATGCATATTTATGAACTCGTATCTTCACGCGTGTTATGAGCTAAAAATATCTATAGGGTTCCATTTAAAAAATCGAAGTTGGGTCAATACCTCCATAATAAAAAATGCAATAAAATAATATTATGCATGACCATGTGCCCCTTGCATATAGTAGTTTTAGTGAAAACCGTATCTCAGTAACTGCAACGGTTCAGGAGGAAATTTTAGAGAAGGGAACATCTTAGGTGGGCCACACTGTGTGTGTGTGTGTGTGTGTGTGCGCGCGCGCGCAACACACACACAAATTAAATTCTCTCCATAGCACGTCACACAATTTTTAACATAAATAAATAAAGGCACTTATTCGTCAATATATCTTTAAATCATTTTACGCACCTACCAACTTTTTCATCTTCAAAATATTAAGTTTTCCCATAATTTTGAGAGATACATATAACAGCACATACTTCTCATATGACTGATATTATATCCAGAAACTACTTCTCAAAATTGCACTCATCTGCCTCAGATTGTCTAAAGATGGCTGCAATGCAACCCAAAAAGCTAAAGCTTTTTTAAAAATAACTATGTTGGAACTAGTATGATTTAATTTCAGTTATTTTCAAAAAACCCATACCCCTTTTTACTTTGAAAATTATTTAAGAATTGTAAACTTAAGATTCGGAAAAATTCAAACAATGAAAATAACCAATTCTCTACATTTAACAGAAAATCAACAAAATAAATGAGACTGTTTTTAACAATTAAAAATGAGCTTACTATTTGACAACACTGTTACCTTTACATTTACTATATTGTATGAAAGTAGGAGCTATAATAGCTTATACTTTCTTGTATCGTTTCTAAGTTTGAAATATTTCAATGAAAATAAGACCTGCTCCATTCTTATAAGCATCCCTTGTCCTATCCATGAAAAAATGAGGAGGGAGGCGGATTTGAGAAATAGTTTTTTAATATAAAATTTGCATTTACTTCAAGCTCCATAAGAAACCAACAACTTTTTTCTTCAAAAAATTGTACAGACCTGTTTTTAAAGATATGATTTTGTTTCTGACAAAAATCTCTATCTTTAAATTTGTAGTAAGGAAAAATTAAAGAGAAAATAAAAAATGTGTAATTAAATTATTATTTTCTTAAAATTATTTAAGAAAGTGTCAGTCACTTAAATAATTGTATTGCCACACAGCTTAATCTGATATTTATAAAATGATTTAGAAAGAGGATATTAAGTCACAAACATTCCCCATCAATACATGATGCTTAATGCTGTTGAAAAGCAACATTAATAGTAAAACAAGAATTGTTGGAGAAGTGCAGCAACCAATTATCACAAGAATCAAGTAAGTTTTGCTGTTCATGTTCACATAATAGGATTTAATGACAACACGTTTTTTGAAGCAACACTTCAATTTTCATTTCAATTATGAGAAGCAAACAAACAAGAAATAAAATATGTTCTGGATATTGTGAACACAAAGGTAACACATAATTGATGGCACAAAGCAATGTAAGTGTTGAAATATAAAAAATTTAAATTATTAATAATAGTGTATTATCACATAAATAAATATTTTATTTTCAAGTAATATTTTATTGCCTAAAATACAATGTTCTTCACTTGTTTCTATCCCATCATTAAATGCAATTATGTATTTTTTTAATAAAGAGTTAAACGAGAACTTGTAGTATGGTATGTTTTTAGAGTTTCAGTTTGATCGAACTATTGTGCAGGAATTAATTAATTTGCATCTTTTACTTTAATTGCCATGGTTTTATTGTTGTTTTCTCTTGCACAATTTAACTCGTGTTGTTGTAACATTGTTTCTCAGGCTTGATTTTGGATAAAGGCAACTTTCTTAATGTAATCAAATCCACACATTTTCTCTGTAACATTCTTACATTTGTGTTGTAACATAAGGGCACATAATAAACATGCATCTGATGTTCCATTGTACAAAAATTGACAACCTTAATTTAAATACTTAAATAATAGGCACAGACTTAGAGATCAAAATGGGTTCAGTTGTAAGTAGTTACATATGATAACTATAATAAGAAGTCTGAAAATTCATTTTTAATATTTATTACATCAGTCAATACTGTTAATGCACTGGTTCATTCAAATCATTAATTGCTGGGTGCTATATCATAAAGCACTGGATGCATCAAATGTGATTGTATAATTCAATCACAAACTTATAATTAACATTAAACAATAAAATAAATCATAAAACTTGTATTCATGTATTTTTCTGCTGAAATGTATGAAAATATATATTGAAACGCAACTTTAATTGTAAGGCAAGAATTGTTGGAGAATTAATAAATATAAAATAAAAAGGTTCTGAAAGTTAAAAGATTAAGTGGATGTTTTGAACCGCAGAAATAACTTTTAACAAGGAGATAAAAAAATCTGCAATAACTAATAAAGGCAATCTTTCCAATTAATTATTGAATGCTTTTCAGCATTGTCTAGAATGGCTAGTAAATGGTCATTCAGACACTTAATGGTCATTCTCATGACATACAAAAACCTGTTCATAAATTCAACAATTTATTTTTAAAATTCAGACATTAACAGTTGAACTTTTTTCTCTCAAGAAAATTAATAATAAAAAGACAAAAAAGTGGAATTCAGAAACATTTGTCCAACTAAGTTTTTTAACCCTCAGTGTTTTAATCCTTCTTAAACAAAAAAGTCCTCTTGGATTCTTATCAATCTAAAGTATGCAATGCATACTTTAGATTGTTACCTTTGACATGTATAATATTTCATTTTTCTTTAAAAATTCAAGATCAAATTTATCAGTAAAATAAAATTTTCTATCACATTTCCAGAAAATCATTAACTCCAAATTAAATAATGCATTAAACACTAACTGTAACTGTAACTGTATGATCTTTTAATGACTAAACATTTTAAACATAGGTTTATTTAAACAAATTTATTTCTTGAATCTCACACTTAACTTATTAAAATTAAATGTGAAAATAAAAACACAAGGCACACATTCAGCTGTGGCATTTTCTGTTAAATTTACTGAACATAGGTATAAATGTTCAAGAACTATAGTAATAAAGCAACTTCACATTTCAATAATGCTTAATATGATCCTAAATGAAAGGGAATTTCATCAGTCCAGGTCCAGTCACAGATAAGTAACAGTCAACATTTTAGCAAAATTTCACCTTTCTACACAAGTTCATAATAACAAAGGGTTATCCATGAATTGGCAGTATAGCTTCAGGTCATGTCATATACAGATGACTTGAGAAGTCTAACAATCTGATGCAACAAATGACATACCACCACTTGAACAATTGACAAGTAAACATCCTGAAAGAGCAGATTCAAATCAGAATATAAAAAAAAAGTTATCTGAAAGTGCAGATAATGCTGTTGTGAAAAATAGGAACATGCATCCTGAGTTCACTAGTTGGCAAACAATATATTGGAAATCTGAAACTTACACTCTCCAGAAAGCACAGTGTAACACAGATAGTGTTGCATTACTGGTGCAAAGAACATAATTTATAAAAATAAAAATTGAGATCAAGTTGTATCAGGTGATAAAAAAGGAGAAGAAAAATTAAGAAATTTCTAATATGAAATACAACCTTTTAATTTTTTTCTGTAGCTTTTTAATTTTTTTAACATCTTCTTCCTTCAAATGTTGAGGAAGATGTAATTTCAATATTCTACAGAGTTGTTTAATTATTTTTAAGTTTCAATTGTGCCACAAATTTGTTCTAAATTCTGGATTTCATTGCATTTTTTTAAATGATTTTGTTTTTAGATTATATTTTTGTGATTTAGCTGTTCCTTTAAAATTTTCTATTTTTATATCCTTCCATTTTCATAACCTATCCTGTGGACTTAGGATGTTAATTTGCACAAGATGAACATGCATTAAAAATGCCTTTTTTTCAGAACTACAGCTCTAATCAATTTTAATTCAGTCCTTTTGGAATGTTTACTTGTAAGAACATTTATCACATATGGCAAGAAAGCCAATGTATCTAAAATAGTTTTCCAAGAAATAAACAGCATGCCCAAGACCTTGTTTGTATGTTACATCAATAACAATTTGTCCTTTACTCTCAAAGCACTTGTTGCTCTGCCCAACAGAAGGATAGACGATAGGTGGTATAATGGTGGGCCCAGGAGGGAAAGTTTATTTGCAGGTCTGCTATAAAACCTTTCAATGTTTCTTATTTTGGGTATATCTGGGAAGATTTTCTTTGAATTTTTGTGACATGCTCTTACACAAATGCTAATAAGATGAGCCTACAATCTCAGATCATCATTTAAACAGCTTGGGATCAGACTAACAGAGTTATTCTGAAAAACCAATAAAAGTACATATTAAAAATTTCCAAAATGCATTGTGCTGACTGACTGTTAAAAAGTATCTACACTTCATAGAATCTAGATTTTTATATTCTAACAGCACGTGCATATGGAACAAATTGTTATTTTGTTTATTTATTTTATTTTCAAAATTAAATGAAAATATATGTATGGTATATTAATATAAATGCAATTCTATAATATGATTGTCACTAAGGTAGCACATTCCCAGTATATACAATGTGCACATTTTTTAAAACAAAAAACAGCAAACAAAAAATATAGTTGCCTCTCTTCATAGAAGATAAAAGCAAGACACACTCTTGTATAACGTACAGTTGATAACATTGACAATGACCACCAAGATATAATTACCATTTTCTACTTACAATAATATTTGGCAGTTACACTGAAACACTTCATTACAAAATTGCTTATCACAGCACACTTCACAACAAAAGTGTTATTTCATTTCTTAAACATGAGAATGATTCTTAATATTATCTCTTAACTTCACAATCAATTGAGCGTTGAAATTTGTCATTGACCTCTAGTGATAATTGCCAGAGCTCATCGCAGCAGTTGGTGGGAGGAGAGTGTTCTTCGTTCAATGATCGGATGACTCTTTGGAATGAGATGCAGGGTTGATATAAACACAATGCTCAAATATTCCTTACTGATGAGTTAATACCATTGCTAAAAACTATACATATAACTCCCGTTTGTTAATACGTAATGGTTAATCTGGACCATTCACACATTACCCGATTAATGTTCACATTATCCAAAATGAATGAATAAAGTACAAAGTTGGAACAGCATCAAAGCATACTTTGGACATCAGCCACATGAAGTGCACATTAATCAATACGAGGTAGCTAGAATAGGTGAAGTGCGTTATGATGGTAAAGAATAGAAGATATAATGTGATAAACGGGAATCAGACCGGTGGCAGAAAATTCCTAAGGCTAGGGAGAGATGGTATATAGTTATTCCACTGTGTGAATTGTGAATTTCGATTTACACAGTACCACCTAACCTAACCTAACCTAACCTAACCTCATTAAATAGCATTTTTGTGCTAGTGACATGGTTCCAGCCATTGCAATTTACATAAAACAGTCCATGCAATGCATACTTTCCCATGCATTTTCATGCCAAAATACATCTTGTGAACTCAAAGATACCTCACTCTTAGCAATCACTTTACACATCACTCACTGGCTAATGACAATTGAAGTCTGAAATTATCTGTACACTGCTTTTCACACAGCTTTATCCAAACCATATGGGTAGTGTGAATTAATCAGACACTAAGTTAGCTCCATTTCAGTCTTTAGCAGCGACATACACATAATTAGTTATACCTTAAACCACAAATGAACAAATGAAACCCTACATTTCTTTTTGTTGTTCAAATAATAAATTTTCAGATTTTAGCAGACAACAATTATTCACTTTTAACTTGTGATTACAATTAACAAAATTTGCAGTCATTTAGTGGTCATTATGAACAATATCTACTGTACTATGCTTGGAATTTACTTCAATTGAAGTATGAACTTTAATATTAGTATCTTACTGTTCTTGCTAAAATATTTGGCACCATATTTTTCTCTGACCCCAAGCAATGCCTTTTACAAGTTAATACTATTTAATATATGAATAAATACTAAAAAATCTTTCAGAATACTATCTGAGCAAATATACATAATGTGTATTAACATTTGTTACCAAAGTTAGGAATAGCATCATCTACGTTTACTTACAGGTTTGTAAAGATGAAGATTGTATTAAGATTATTCACTAAATTCTGTTAGTTGAATAGTGTAAAATAAAATTAAAAAAATAAAATAAACAACAACAAAGAATCTAAATTATATTTTATCATCACATTTTATTATTTTCGTGCAATATAAATACTTCATCCTTTTCAGTTCCATTCCATTTTCAATCACATTCAGATGATGATCCGCACTCTTAGAAAATCGAAAACATCACTCACTAATAGTATCATTTTAGATCATCTATTCACACATTCATTCAAAAGTATAATTTTACAAATGCATACCACAGATAAAGAGTATACTTTTTTTTATACATAAAATAATACTGTTATTCATCTGTCATTACTTTCACCTCCAAAAGAATCAAAATTCTACATCCTATGGTAAGAACTGTGAGTAGGTTAAAACTTTCCAAATGGAATACATGAAAGAATTTGTTTAAACTTTGAGATACAAACAGTTTCACTAGTAGTCAGTTCCAGCAGTCATGATGAGACAGTCCATTATCACCAAAGATTACTTTCATTTTAGTCACATGCTCTTTAGTTTTTAATGAAGTACTGATCAAGTAAGTAAGGTTCATTAAAGTTCTGTAAATCACAAGTATTATTCACTCCCCAATAAATATATACAAGATGAATGAGGCATTAGATGCCAGGACCTACAAGAGTACATAAATTGCAAGCAAAAGAACCACTATGGTAAGGTGGTATGGTAAGGTGAATAGTATAGGTGGTCATTTGACCTCCTTCACTCCTGACATGCAATGTCTCTGTCCTATAAGAACTTTCATTCATGATGAAAAGATCACTAAATAAGAAGATAAAATATGTAAGTCCCCAAAGCTACCCAATGAGAGGCATAACTCAGATAAGACCATTTTGCCAGTGTGTGAGTGTAATTATAACCTTCTTCTTGAATTTTTGATGACATGTCAAACATTACTCCTAAATATGAAAGGTGTAACATGGAAATTATACCAAATCCAACATTTGCCAAGATAACATACAGACGCTTTTCTTTGTTGCGATGAGAGCAATCTTTTTTACATGGACGTACTTGAATACACGCTCCAAAAACTGTAGCTAGCTTTAGTCGTAACACATACTCAACATATGTATAAGCTCCCAGAGACAACAAAACGGCAGCAAGTTGAAAATTAAGGCCATGAAGAAGGGAGCTGACAGCGTACGTTGACAATATTGCAGCAAAACTGCCCAATGGCTTGGCAGTTCGAAAAACATCTGTAACAAACATAAATTTTATGTTGAACTACCACATTATTTTTAAAGAGAAGAGTTTGACAATAATGTTTTAATAACCTAACATGCTGAATTTATAAAGATGAAATTATGAACACAATTATTCATAACTTTTTTATCTACACAATCGAAATGAAATTAACCCATTAGTGCCTGAATAGTTTTTCCTTGAATTTTTATATTTCAATTTTTTATATGATGTGTAATCCATAAAAAAAATAATTTCAAAACTTTCTAATGAAAAATTTTCTAGCAAACTCGTGTCCATATGGATTCTGGAATGTAACATTGTTAATACAGAATAATTATAAAGAAATATAAAATAATTAGAAGGACTATAATTGGAAAGATTTTTTTTTTTTACTTTAATCCTTTTTCTAATGATGTAATTATAGGTTTATGGTTTAAAAACTATACTGAATTATTCCAGCAAAATGTGGAAACAAAATATAAAAATTACTGATTATGAGGTATAAAAGTTTCAAAATAAATCAAATTAGTAATGAAAAAATCAAGAAGATCACAAGATTCAAACAACAAAATAATAAATAGCACTTTTAGCAAAAAAAATTAATTCTTAAAAACCACACACACAAATTACAGATTGGAACATTCAACACATAGGTCATTGTGTTTGATGCAAGGCTTGTGAACAGCAGATTGCTTAACTTGCAGTAATACCCTTGATACCTCAATTTCATGTCAAAATGTCATAAGCTGTCAAAGCGCATAAGACAGGACTTCCGCTTGATCTACCTCACCTTTTCATGGATTCTGAAATTTGGTCAAGTAACTTCAACAACTTCCAAATCTCTTCAAATTGGTTTCTTCTTATTACATTCATAACACACTTATTGTAAGTCTCATTACTAGAGCCCGCAAGTTTGGCAAAATGCCTTTTTGTTTTTGGACTATTTTATACTATTTATTTGTACTATTTTACGACTTTTAAAAGTAGGAATCACTTAATTGCACTTCTGGACTTTTTTCAGTACATTTTCATTGACCTTTTTTTGCCTATAATACCTATTTTTCCCATTTTGTCTTATTTTCACCTTTTTCCCAATTATTTTGCTTTTTTTCTCTTGGCATTGATCGCGGTCAAGGTGGATATATACCTGCAAGTCTGAACTACATGAAGAAATAATAGTGTTTTTTCTTTCTGTGGAAGTCCAGTCAAGATTCATGAGGTACACAATCCTACTTTTGAGTATGGGCTTTGATTCCTTTTGAGGACATCTCCCTGTACACAATATATCCTTTTCAGTGCTAGTGATTGATTACACAAAAGCAAAGAACGAAAATTATAAATTCCTTTTCAGTGACGCTATTTCAATATTCAAAAGGGAGTCCACAATATAACTTCGAAGAGACAGCATTACGAGTAAAACCAATTCATAGCCATCATACAAGATGGTCATGTGGTTTAAGATTACAAAGAAAAGATAATTTCCTTACACTTTAATTGCTAATGCAAATTTAGTTAGAATAAAGTTGAGTTAGAATAAATTGAGTTAGAATAATAAAGGTGAATCAGTTTAATTATCAATTTTTTAACACATATTCCTTTTAAATGTGATTTTTCATTGTTTATATGCCTTCTTGGATGTCCATTTTACGTAAAATAAATGTCGAACTTCTGGGCTCTATTCATTACATATGAACAATTATTTTTGGAAGTTTGTAAGAATTTGTATACAACCAGAATTTTATTTCTTTACAAGTTAAAAATACAGGTTTCAGCTAATTAGTGTGTAGTATATTTATTACATTCTTCAACAAATATTTCAAATATTTTAATAATCTCTGTTGGAGAAATGATTTGAGAAAAGTAACAAGACCTATACTCAACTTTTTTTACTCTTGAGAAGAAATCTAGAGGTAGGTCATAAGAAAATCTGATAACAACAAAACCTAAATGTACACAAGGACTTAAATTTTCAGTTGCACCCCCTTCATTCTAATCATCTCCAGAACCTTTGAAATGCTATATTTACATATTCCACTTGATCAGAATAAGCCTACTTTTCAAAAAATGTCTAAGCATTCATAATCACATAATCAGATAGTATACATTATATAAACATATTACAGCTCCACTTTATTATAACAAAATTATGTGAAAAATGTGATAATAACAGTTATTTATACATCCACAATATTAAGTAGACGTTTTTGCCCTGAGAGGGACTTCCCAACCCAAAGGCCTCTGGTCCGAGGGGTTGGAAGATACCTGACAGACAAAATCATCAAGTAACACTTGTGATGGTATGGTTTATTAGTTCGTATCTGAAGCAAACAAGAATTCGAAAACACTTTAAATTTATCTTGCATCAAAAGAACAAAGACTCCTGGTAACAGAATGTTACCATAAGAAGTTGATATAGCACAACGTGTATCTAATTACAATTAAGTGTCTCTTTCAAAATGAGTGTTCAGGTTCACAAGATTAGAGTTGGTGAGGTTCCAGTGAATGTGGTTCAAGTCAGAGGGGTTAACAACATAAACTACCAGTTGAAAATCATAGTAGTACGATTTAAAATTAGTGGGGCTACAACAGCCAAAATTTTCTCATATTATTGTTAAAAGTTACATAATATTATATTAGTACAACTTCTATCCTACTAAACACTTCAGCCAACAATTTAAAAATTTCTAATCTAATGAAGCTACAATGCCAAGTTCAAAAATAAATACATTGAGGCAAAGGCTTTCTTGCCATTGAATTTAATATATTGTTCTCTATTCTTACTGAAAGTTTGAAACAAAAATATTTAGGAACGCTAGGATTCAAACCAGAGCTTTTTTGATAAATTTGGTGGTTACTGAAGAAATATTAGGAATTATGTATATTATGGGGAAACTGACTTTGAAACAAAATACCCAAAATATGTATGTTTTGATAAATTTTTATTTTTTTTCTTCTAAAAAAAATCATAAACATATGATTGTGAAAGATAAGTCCTTTTTTTTCTGGAGTGCTACAGATCAGACGACATTTACTTTTCCGGATGCAACTAATTATGTGTTGGAAGGACTTGCTATATAATATTCATTCTATAAGAAATTCTTGCAGTAATTGCTGCTGAAAACATTACAGTGATTTTATGTTATGCAAAAATTACAATTTGGAAAAAGGATACATGAAAAAATTAAAAACCAAATCTTTAGGAATAGATTGGACCCAGAAATAAATCTCTAGCTTCAATGTCAAAGGTGTCATACAGGATCCAAAAACATTGAACGTTTGCAAGTTATCAAATTTCAAAGGTTTAAAGAAAAACAAAGGCTGTGTCATATTAAGTGAGCATTGTTCTATTTTAACATGGAACAAATTTGAGAGGCATTTTTGAGAAAATCTTGTCAATGTATTTTTTAAAATTAAATTTTGAACTCACCCAAAATTATGTGAAAACTACTGATATTTTAGGATTGGACTGTAACTACCTTCAGAGACCTTGGTGAAATATTTGATTCAAGAATGAAATTTAATTTTCATATTGATTATATAGTGCTAAATCTAATCAAATGTTGGGTTTTATTAGAAGAACATGCGATTTTAAAAATCCTCACACTTTTGGATTACTATATCTAACATTGGTTAGACCCACTTTATTATATGCATCCGTTGTCTGGTCGCTATTTCGCAGTAACCATAAAAACAAAATTGAAACTATTCAACATAAATTCTTTAACTTTTATTGCATGGGAAATGGGCCTTCCTTCACCTAGACTAACTCATGACTATAGACTCATTGCATCTGTCATGAGTATTAGCACTTGGACTCCCATAGGAAATACAATCAATATATTTTCTTGTATAAATTATCAAACAACCTGATAGATTGTAAATATTTACTATCCCAATTACCTTGGAAAGTTCCTAAGTATAATCTTCGGGACACAGATCATTCGATATTTGTGCTACTGACAGTGAGAACAACATGCGACAGGTGAGAACGAACATACCCCCCTTTGAGGAATGTGTTAAATTGTGAATGATTTGTCCTTAGATCTCAATTTGATATATAATTTTCTTTCATGTTGTGATGTAAAGCTGTATTACTTGCTTTATTTGAATGATTCCTACTAAGTTTCAATTCTATTGATATCATATTCTATATTCATGTATGTTATTATGATGTCGACTCCTAATATAAAACTATGTATTATTCTGTATTTTGGACGTTTGCCTAACAATAAATAAATAAATAATATTGGTTTTAAGAACATCCCAAATTTTTCTTATTTCTGATAAAATCATGATTACATACCTCTCTCTCCAGGGTTGCATGTCTATATTCACCAATGAACACAAGCAAATTTCATTTTAAATTATAATGGTTGTCTATGCACATGTTATTATCTTTCGGTAAGGATTAGGTCAAAAGACAATTATACCTCAAAATGTCAAATCATAAATAGAGGAAAGGGTTTGTTACAAATGTCGGTATAAAAATTGACCACCAAAAACACAATTTAAAATCTTTTTTTGAGCAAACTAGCATTTATAACTCATTCCATATTAAAGTGAGACTAGTTAATATTTTAGATTATTATTTTGATTGTCAATATTTATAATGGTTTATTGTAATAGAACCCCCTTCCTTTACGTGTTGCCTCTTTTGTAATATAATTTACTGTTCACCATTGAATAATCCAAAGATTATTCCAAGATAATAAAGATAATTGTAGCTAATTTATTTATATAGAACCTAGACAGTACAAGTGAAAATATAAATGGTAAAATTTATGTCACTTCAATATATTTAAGGCCATTGCATAAGAACATGGGTGATATTTTCCCAACCATTCAGCAAAAAGTTCCCTCTTTCCCCAATTCATAGAAAGAATTCATTTCTCCATTCAGCAGAAATAACATAACATTAAATTTGGTTTAGAGAAAAATCAATTTTTCTGTTGTTGTTTTTTAGGTTGGGGCAAGGGGTAAGTTGTCCCAGCTGCCTAATACTCCGATTTCAGTGCAATAAAGTACAAATTATATTTTAAAAAATCTCAACAAATAAGTTTCAATTTGGTCATGATTTTTTGCTGAACTACTTTCTTTAAGAAATAATCTAGCTACATAACTGTCTGAAAATTTTCCCTGGTGTCCAATGATTCTTCTATAAAACAACCAAATACCCATCAAAGAGGCCATGGTTATTTTAGGCTGTGTTTATATGGAATGACCAGCTGATAATTGGTAACTATAGTTAGAAAAAGAAAAAAAAAGCCCATTAGAACTATTTCAGTATTTGAAATTCCAGAGATTTTAATGAAAATTAGGCCATATTACTCAGGCCATTTACTGTTTTATGGGAGGAAACAATTTTAAGAAAAAATGTAGAGTCATTTCACTCTAATTTAAGTGAAAACAACTAATATTTTGAAAAAATTGTACACAATAATTAAAGATTGAATTTGAAAAACTGCTTCCGTTAAGGAAAAATCTATCTTTAATCATGGTAGTTGTAAGAGGGAGTCAAATTATAAAAATCTACCACTTTTGAGATTTTAGAGGTTTCAATGAAAATTGGGTCTGCACCAATTTTTATGTGTGAAGATTCCTCAATTCAAGGGGGGGAAATTGGAGCCTTTTTGAGAATATATTGAAAATGTGCTCGAGGCTTCATGTTAAGTGTTACAAAAATTACAAGACATCAACAAAGTGCTGTATACTTTACTCGCACCATGAAATACACAATTTCACTTGCATTTTTATGCCAAATTACTTTCACAACCAGGTTGATGCTTTGCTACACATTTTGAAGTTCAGGATGTTGCCTTTTTGTCTTCACACTTAACATAAAACATCTTTGATTTGATGCAATAAATATTTATCAACACTTTTATGAAAAGACTTCAAAAATTTGTTGGGCAGTAAATATAAATGTCTTTTATTACTGCCACGAAAATGAACATTATGCCATTTCCACTAAAACTTAATTACATCCACATTACTGATTCACTGTATTTCACTAAATCAACACCTGTTAGAATTTTCATAATGCTACACAATGAATACACATATGACATGGCAGATACAATACTTCCCTTGCGATCAACAACTTCCCCTCAAAACTTTCTAACTTCTCCTCATCCACTCCACTGAGGGGTTACCCTTCACCTTAATGCCAAGAACTACTGGTTTTACCAACTTCCATAAGGTGTACCAAACACTTCTAAAGAATTCCCCAAGAAATTCACCATTTTGTATTACAGTAACTACACTTATTCAGAGGATCTTTTATTTGAATGACCTCAAGTGAATTCATTAATTATGCCACTTAAAATGTACTTACAATTCTTCAACCAGCAGTGCATGGGAATGTTCCAATAAACCACTACTTGCACAAGCGATCGAGGGATTTCAATAAACTGCGGTTTAGTCACAGACATACTCCAAGGCTCATCCCTATTATGACCAAAACCAGAAACTATTGCTGATGCTTCTGACAGAAAAGAAACGAAGTAATGACTAGAGCGGAATGAAAATGAATCACGATATGCCATCCACCATCTGAAAACAAAATAAATTATTTTTCAAATTTACATTTCAGTTTTCCAAGATCAGAATGCATAAATTAAGACGAAATTACAAAATAAAACACTCAGTACCTCCAAGAACCATCAGGAATCAGCCACTGAACCCAACACGTTGATAAAGTTAGGAATGCAAATGCAAGCAAAATGTTCAGCAAAATTTTTCTCAACCATTTCATATCCTGCACACAAAGAAAATGTCTTAGCTATAAAAATATTGATGGCTACACTACAATTTCCTGGATGCTCTTAGTCCGACTTACCCACAGAGGTTTTGTATAAATAGCAATGTAATCTCGATAAGAAACCCAGGGACCAAAAACACAAGTTCCAACACAAAACAAATACCCAGCAAATTCTGCTGGAGAAGGAAGACATTGCAAGGCGCCAAAATCCGTATCAAATGCCACAGAAATTACTTTCATTGCTATTAACATTTGTGCTCCTCGAATCTTGTGCCATTCTACTTTACTTGGTAGGAATAGTTCCCTGAAAATAAAAATGAAACAATTAGCTACCAACATATATATTTCAAAAAATTATAAAAGTAATTTTGGAGAAGAGAAAATTACCTATGCCAAGTATTTCCAATCTTTGTAAACAAAAATATAATTTAGTACAGTCAAATCATGTTTACCAAGTTCAAACTACATACTGCATTATTAAATAAACACTCAGAAGTGCAATCCAATATTTCAAAGAAAAATAGCATTCTTTATACTCTAGCAACTCATATGTTTGTGTAACATGTATATTTGCATAGAATGACTTTACAAACTGAAGTTTTTTTTCAATACCTTACATGTGCAAGAAACTTGATAAGCGTGCATACAAAAATAAAAAATATATGATATTACAGCAAAAAATATGTAGTATGTTGTACATTAATAAATTTAAAAAAAAAAACAGAAAAAAGAATTACAGTACCTTAACGTTAATAGTACACAAATTATAATAGGAATATCCACAAATAATTTTAACTATGAACAAGAAATTACATTGCAACTTACGATATAATAAGGAAAGTGATTGACACAAAACCCATAACAGGACCTCGATATTTGTGCAGGAAACAAGATATGCTGAACAGAATAATATATGAAACCACTGCAAAGCCTATGATGTAATACATAGTTGCTCGGAAGAAATGATGTAACACCAGAAGACCAGTCCCAGCAGACACTGCATGACGTAAAAGAGCAGGAACTTCAACTGTCAACATAATATACAAGTATTCAATAGCATTTAGAACAACTATCACTGATGATGATTTTGATAATAAGGATTTATTAAAATATTGAAATTAACAAGATTTTCCAATTCCAATAAATTCAAATAAATATACCAAGTTGTGTAGAAGCTCTGAAGAGAAAACACCACAACAACAGTTTTCCAACATGGCTAAATCCATCTCTGACAGTAGGCTCAATACAGAGCTCAAGAAGTTCCCCTACTTTAACACCTTCTTCAACGTCATCATCATCATACCAGAGGTTCGCACCAGGCATATATAGGTCATCATAGACAGGGTTCATATCATCAACATCATCAAACAAATCATAGTCAAAGTCGTTCATGATTAGGTTTCCTACGATAATGATAAAATATGAATAATGGAACTGAAATTTTAAATTCATTGACAATCTCACTACTAGCGATGCACACTTAAGTTGGCATTCTCAATGTTCATATTCAAACAAACTTTATTCTAACAAGTACTTACCTTAAACAGGGGAGTTGGTTTTCTGGTTAATAAAACTGCATAATTTTGCAGGATATCAAGTGTAATCAAACGAGTGTAAATTCATTATGCAAACAAATGCTTCGCAATACTCGTCATTTTTGACATGAAAAATTTAAAATTATACTCTTCAAGGAAATCCTGTGAAAAACAAAGACACAATTTTGCAAATCACAGCAACTGCCGGTTACTGTCAGTGAAGTTGAATTGCCTATCGAAAATCATAATTACCACTATATTTACGAACAGCCGCAATCTTCTATCCACCTGACTTTATGGTATGCAGAGAATTGCCTCAGAAGTAATATCATTTCAAGTCCCAAAGAAGCTCCCTGTTGGTGTGTCATTAGCTTATGGTCACGAAAACAATTTCACAGACAATCAAAATTATGTTTTGTCGGTTGTCGAATGATATAGTACACATAACTAGGAACAATTACCACACGATTTCCTTTCAAGTTTCAGGACAAAATGTAACAAACACGAACTCAATCAGCAATTCCCTCCAGGCGCAACACAGAAACACAACACCCAGCAACAGCCAGGGCCACGGCCGCCCGCGGTCCGTCGATCCCGCGACGTTCGCTCGCCCTCCGCTGCGCCGCTGTTACCGGGGAACACGTGCGGCTGAGAGAGCCTGGCGCTGCAGTCGCGAACACCGCGAACATAGAGCACTCACACGTCTTCGTCTATGTACCGAATAAGTGTTTTTTTCTTCAAAACTTCCTTCCGTCCGTCCATCCGTCCGTCCGTCTGTGAACACCACTAGCACCAAAACCATTCGTAGGATTTTTTTCAAAAATTGATATTCGGTGGCCGATCTTCCGTGGTCTACTCGAGGCGCCGAGATGTTGCAAAAAAAAAATCTAACTTTGCGGGTACTTTTCATGAAACCCCCCGGAACTTTTCAAAATTTTCTCAAAAAGGCTTCAATTTTTTTCTTTAAATTTCTTGTAAAAATAGAGTAAAATACACTTTTAAAGGTGACATAGGTCCGATTTTCATGCTTAACTCTGAATTTTCGAAAATTCGAAGACGAATTTTTACGGTTTCTTCCTACTACTACAAAATTAAAGACAGAGGATTTTCTTTCAAATGAAATTTGTTCTTCATAATTAGTCCTTTTATTAAGATCACGTACAGTTTTTGGAAAATTTGAGTAGTTTTCGAGCAATATTGCGTGTAATAAGTGCAATTTTAAAGATAACAAAAACAGATTTTCGCAAAAAGGCTCTAAATTTTTTTCTTTCAACTTTTGATAGGGAGAGTACCTAATGTACTCTATGCGATGACATGAACATCAGTTTGCTCTATTCTTTTTTTTTTACAAAAATTTAATTTTTTGACTTGTCTTTCACGTTGTTAATATTTGCATTAGCGACGATTTCTTCACACTATTATACTTATGAGTACATGTGCTTTAAATAATGTCAAAACATTTCTCGAAAACTTAAAAGTTTTCTGTGAAACGAGTTTAAAAGTCCGCATTTTCAGAAATGTTCAAACGTAGTTTTCTTAAATACAGCTCCAAATTTTTCTTCAAACTTTTGAAGTAATAGTAGTAATTGCACTCTTTTATATTTTCTACAGCTCATTTTGGGGGTACTTTTTGTTTTCTCAAAAACACAGATGTAATTTTTTGAAAGACATCTCACTCCATCAATATGCTTTTTCAGCAATTTGTAAACACTATTGTATTTGTGAGATAAAGTGCTTCAAATAACTATAAATTAAGGTTTTCGAAAACTCAAAAATTTTCTGTGAATCTTTAACTTTCGAATTTACAATAGCCCATAAACACCATTTTCTTTGAAACGACTAAAAAAATTCAAAGAAAATTTCCATTTAGAAGAAGGTTTTACTGTTCTTTAATATTCTTAAAGGAGTATTTCTGTTCTTCTGTTAGGAACACGAGAAATTCGGAAATTAAAAAAAAAGTACATTGGGCGGCGATAGGTGGAAGCTGGCAAGAGTATATGGCAAGTCCGAAGAGCTAACCAAGATCAAAGGAAATAGAAAACTAACACGGGAATGTCTGTGTCTTTCTGTAGCACAACTAGTTTTTCGTCTGATACCTACTTTTTCATTTCACTTTATTTGGACGTTTTTGCCTTATTTGTGCCTTTTCTGCGTTTTTTGTCATTATTTTCCTTTTCCTCCTGGCAACAATCTCTATCAAGCTGAAATCATTCTTGCAAGCCAGGACAACATGAAGGCAGAGTCGTATATGGTTTTTCTGTGTTCGCAGAGACTCCAGTATCATGTTGTGTTATAAATAGAAACTAGTGGTGCTGCGGACGGCACCGACTTTCCCATATTAATTTTCCACTTCTTCCTGATATGTGAAATTATAAAGGGAACCTTATCGTACTGGACAAAACTATCGGCTCAAATCGAAATCCTAAAATTATGAACGAAAAACAGAAGAAAATGGATTGAAATAAAAATCCCCTCTATGACAAATAAAATGGGTAACACAATAGAAATTGACGCTGAATAAACACGGCCTCGACTATCTATGGGAATCCCAAGACGTGGGTAAGGTCTCTGCTCTTTCTTTTCCAGTTCCCCACAAAGAATATGTCTTAGAAGAAATAGGCCAAAAACGTTTACCAAGATCTGTTCCTACTACATGGAACTTTCATTCAAATCCTGTGATTACTATTTTAGAGTATAGAGGGGAGTTGATAGAGCGTATGAAACAGATTCAACAAGGGTACAAAATGACCTGTAACTCTGCGTCTCAAGCTTCTGGATTCATTCGTGTCTTAAATGATGAAAATTTCATATTTTGGTTGGCTTTCTTTTATAAAACCATGCCACATGTTGACATTTTGTTTAGTTGACTTCAGAGGCGTGATTGTACTCCATCACTTGTTCAGACAATAAAAATAATTTGAGTTGGAAATTTTTAAAATCAAAAGCAACAGTACTGCTCGTACGGGAGTGCGCCTCAGATTGCCTTTCCCAGCTACCCACCTACACCCACCTACCCACCTACACCCCCACACAACTTACCACCTTCACAGTAGCACGCATGAACCGTAAGCGGGTTATCAAGATTTTGCTCG